GGGGGAAGATTGTTGGAAATAACTGGGGGAAAGTGATATATTCATTTGGGGGAACGGTGGATTAGAATAAATACTGGCTTGTCTTCAGAAGCCATGTTGGTCAGAAGAGCATGTTAAAGAACTGGGAGAAAGGAGTTGTCAATCAGAGTTTTACATCTAGGGAAAAAAAATCCTTCAAGAGTGAGTGACTAACATATTGTCAGGCAAGGGAAGTTTGCAAGACCTATTTTTATGAAATGTTAATGGAAATTCTTTAGGCTGAAGGGAAGTGATATCAGATGGAGTTTTAGGGAGATCATTCAAAATGTTAAATATTTCAGTATGCAAAAGGACTAATTTTATTCTTTCAGTTAATACATCACTGTTTTTATTCTTTGAGAATATATTTTGATCATATTTATCCTTCTCTAGCTCCTCTCAGATCCTCCTCCACATTCCCTACCCTCCCTTCATGTCTTCCCTCCTTCCTTCCCCCACCCTCACCTCTTGTCTCTCTTAAAAACCCCTGGAGCCCAGTTTCTTTTGTCCAACTACTCCTGGATGTGGGGTGTACAGTAGAGCGTGGTCATATACCTGTTGTCACACCATCAAAAAACACTGTCTTCCCTTTTCTCCATAGCCAATAGCTCCTCAACTAGGGGTGGAACCCCTCCTCTATGCTGGGGTTTTGTCTGGCTGGAACTTTGTGCAGGTCTTGTGCATGTTGTCCCAACCTCTATGAGCTCATGTGTGCATCTGCCCTGCTGTGTATGGAGAACACTGTTTCCCTGAAGCCATCTAACTCCTCTGACTTCTACAATCTTTCCCCCTCCTCCAAACAGTTCCCTGAAGCTGGGTGTGGTTGTGAACAACTATAATTGCAGCACTCAGGAGACAGAGACAGGCAGATCTCTGTGAGTTCAAGGATAACCTAGTCTACATAGCAAGTTCCATGACAGTCAAGGAGACATAGAGAAACTGACTGAAAAACTGAAACCAGACAACCAAAGACAATTCTATAACTTTGGCAGTGGAGTTAACGCTTGAACACTAGCTTACTTAATTCGACTGATTTAAACCACATTCTCTAAGAGCATATACATGCCAGCCTTGTGGGGAGAGGTGGGATATAGACATTACATTTAGAGCCAAACACTTCAAAGTCTTATTTTCTGCATGTTGTCTCTGTGTTAACCACCATCTACTGCAAGAAGCTTCTCTGACAGGGACTGAATGGTGCAGTGATCTGTAGGAAAGCAGTAAGTTTTATTGCTGTGTCCATCTAGCAGAAAAATAGTACTACATTATCCTCTAGCACTCATGACCTATTTAGCCACAGGTCTGTCTGAGAAACTGTTTTTTAGTCATAATAATTTCTTTTGTTTTATTTTTATATTTTTTTCTGTCTTCCCTCCCCCATTTTTTATTTGAATTAGAAACAAGATTGTTTTACGTGTCAATCCCAGT